ACTTCCTTCGATGATATGATATGATATGATATGATACGATATGATATGATATGATATGATATATATATATGTATGATATGATATATATATATACATGTATATGATATGATATATATATATGAGATATGATATGATATGATATGATATGATATATATATAAATATAGACATATACATGCACATGTGTGGCCTTTTTCCCCTGCCATCAGTGCAGCAAAGTTAGGTGCGCGCAGACCCCAGAAGTGGATTCAGCATGGTCTGTGGCCTCAGCCGACCCCGTTGGTGGTTGGTTTCACCCATTCTGATACACCATTCATGGAAGATCACCAACTACCAATGGGGTGACCAACTACCCCATCGTGGTGTATGGATAATCACCATTATAGGAGTAGCATCTCTAAAGTTCCTGAAAAAAACAAAAAAAACAGAATTTACTCATCTGAGAGATGCAGCTTGGGCCGATTGCCATGTGTAGTGGCAAAAGCAGCAGTGAGGAGAAGAAAAACGATGGCAGCTTCAAAAGGTGCAAACCACGTCACCAATTCGAAGATTGTGTTCTGATACAGCGCAATCTCTCAACATGAGCCTATTATCGCTTCTGAATCGTTATCCACCACCACATGCTGCCTGCTCTGACTATCCACATTCGGAGTCAATTTGAGTAGTAGTCGCGTTACGCTCACTTTTGCCAAAGGCTGTCAGTGTTCACTGTCGATCGAAGCATTCACTGAAACTGAAACTCTAGAGGTAGGTGGGCAACAAGAGGGTCTTGCGTGCGTGCGTAATCTATCTATATATATATATATGATATTTATATATATATATTTATATGTATACATATATATATATATGTTGTAGAAAAACGTATATGAATTTCTACACAAATCGCACCGCTAAAACAACCTTCCAATCTATCATCTTTACTGGCTTGAACACAGGAACCAGGGAGGAGGTGTTGCTTGGAACATTTTGCAGGTGGCTGCTTGGAGTTGGCTTCGAGGCAAGTGCACTCTTCGACCGCAACAAGTGCATGGTGCGCCCGGGAGGGGATGACACATCCCAAACTGGCGTTCAACGGGAGAAAATGATGACATGGGATTTGGAGGTGCACTATTCTCTTTCCACTAGAACTGAACGTATTGGATCAAATTTTAGAACCAAAGGATCCAGGATCCAGAGACTTTCACTGACCCCATGCGCGCAGATTTCCGTCCCACACGCGAAGCGGACCACCCGTGGAACGAGAGGCTGGTTGACTGGAGAGGGTCAAAGGTGGCTCTTCTTACCATTTTCATGTTGCTAGGAAGCATCATTTGTATTCATTCTTAATCCCTAAGGTCATTGTTTTTGCCAGTTGTCAGCCTTGCAAAGTGCACGTCCCTGCTGTAGACATGTCCTCACCAGCCAGTCTGCTTTTGCAAAATGCCGCTTGTCATGTCCAAGCAACGTGCATAAGAGAGTCTTGCAGGTGGGAGAAAGAACCGTGGTGCTGACCGAGGTACCAATTCAGACGGTGAGCAGGACAGGTAAGTTCCAGTTGCGAAGCATTGGGTAGTCTTCAAGACTTGACTCTTGCAACCGAGATTCACAGACCAAACAGCTTTCTGGGACCACCTTGTCCCACCCAGGATGGAATCTTCGATCCTCCATATGGATTGAATTCTCCAGAGGTGCATATCATTTTGGTGTTCCCTTGAGATATTGGACGTCTTTTGAATGATTTGGGACCCCACAAACCCAGAGGGGCATAGGCATAGATCACAACAAAAAGGATTTACACGCCATGGACTCGCTGATTGTCAAGCTGTGATGCGGCAAGAGTAACCTTTCGGGGACGGGTTGCTATAGATGTGCACGCGTTGTGAAGCTTTACACCCAGAAGAGTCTTTGTTGACATTTAAGGGCATGGCTGAAGATTGTCATGATTATCTACCCAGGATGGTTTACCAATTTACTGCCAAACGTTGTAATTTTTGTGGATGTTTGGCTTGTGGTGAGGCCTTTGATTTGGAGGAAGAAGTCCTGTCTCATCTGCGAGAGCATGGAGATTGCGACATGGGAGCCTTACGGCAGGCAGGACTGCTGCAGATAGCTTTTCTTGCGACCTGTGCGTACTAAAGTATCTAAAGGGCAGGGGTTCTTAGGTGGGTTCAGAGCAGGTCGTGAGATCATTTTCATATATTTTCCAATCCAATCAAACAATATAAGCTTTTCCTCGGATGACGCCTTTCCAGTGCTAGCGACAGGGCTTCTGAGGTAAATGACCTGGGAAGACGCTTCAACGAGGTCTTCTTTCACAAGTCAAAGGCAAAGTGAAGGGCTAGCCGCAGCCGCAACGAGTTCGCCTACAGATTGCATGGGCCTGCAGTGCTTTTTGACTGGTTTCCACTTGTGCAGAATGACAGGTCAATGATGGTTCTTGGAAGAAATGGTCGTTTCCTGAGAGAGGACCGGAGCGCAAGTTCTTTCAATCCAGTCCCGACCAGTCTATCAGTCTGTCAGCTCTTCCGCCCGCTCCTAGGTTGGTGTCCATGAGTGCGGTTGAAGTAGTTTGTGATCCAAAGTCCGCCTGGCAAATTGAAGTGTTGTTCGATGTTGATCGGAAGTTTTTTAGAGTGGGGACTCGCAATGCTGTTTCAAAGGTGCAGTGGGCGCAGATTGAACATTCCGCATATATTTCCACAGTTACCCTCTGGTAAACTAACATAGCTATGGAAAATCACCATTTTTAATGGGAAAATCCACTATTTCCCCAGATAGCTGGCAAGCTATAGGGGTTCTTACTTCTCTAAGGTGGGGTCTCCGGTGGCGAACTTTTGAGCCAGGGTGCTGTGCAGGGTGCTGTGCAGGGTGCTGTCCAGACTGCGGTGGCGAAGTCTGGCAAAGGTGCTGTGCAGGGTGCTGTGCAGGGTGCTGTACAGATTGCGGTGGCGAAGTCTGGCAAGGTGCTGTGCAGGGTGCTGTGCAGGGTGCTGTGCAGGGTGCTGTGCAGGGTGCTGTCCAGACTGCGGTGGCGAAGTCTGGCAAAGGTGCTGTGCAGGGTGCTGTGCGGGGTGCTGTGCAGGGTGCTGTACTGCGGTGGCGAAGTCTGGCAAAGGTGCTGTGCAGGGTGCTGTGCAGAGTGCTGTCCAGAGACTGCGGTGGCGAAGTCTGGCAAAGGTGCTGTGCAGGGTGCTGTGCAGGGTGCTCTGCAGGGTGCGGTTCGAAGTCGGTGGCGGCAGGGTGCGGTGGCGGGTCTGGCAAAGGTGCTGGCAAAGGTGCTGTGCAGGGCGCTCTGCAGGGTGTTGTCCAGAGTGCGGTGACTTCGCTGGCAAAGGTGCTGTGCAGGGTGCTGTGCAGTGTGCTGTGCGGGGTGCTGTCCAGACTGCGGTGCGAAGTCTGTGCTGTGCAGGGTGCTGTCCAGACTGCGGTGGGGGTGCTGTCCAGACTGCGGTGGCGAAGTCTGGCAAAGGTGCTGTGCAGGGTGCTGTGCAGGGTGCTGTGCAGGGTGCTGTCCGGACTGCGGTGGCGGGGTCTGGCCAGGGTGCTGTGCAGGGTGCTGTGCAGGGTGCTCTGCAGGGTGTTGTCCAGAGTGCGGTGGCGAAGTCTGGCAAAGGTGCTGTGCAGGGTGCTGTGCAAGGTGCTGTCCAGACTGCGGTGGCGAAGTCTGGCAAAGGTGCTGTGCAGGGTGCTGTGCAGGGTGCTGTCCAGACTGCGGTGGCGAAGTCTGGCAAGGGTGCTGTGCAGGGTGCTGTGCAGGGCGCTGTCCAGACTGGAGTGGCGAGTGCTCTTCAAATTGAGTGGCGAAGTCTGTCCAGACTGCGGTGGCGAAGTCTGGCAAAGGTGCTGTGCAGGGTGCTGTGCAGGGTGCTGTCCAGACTGCAGTGGCGAAGTCTGGCAAAGGTGCTGTGCAGGGTGCTGTGCAGGGTGCTGTCCAGACTGCGGTGGCGAAGTCTGGCAAAATTGCTGTGCAGGGTGGTGTCCAGACTGCAGTGGCGAAGTCTGGCAAAGGTGCTGTGCAGGGTGCTGTGCAGGGTGCTGTGCAGGGTGCTGTGCAAGGTTTTGTCCAGACTGCGGTGGCGAAGTCTGGCAAAGGTGCTGTGCAGGGTGTGCAGGGTGCTGTGCAGGGTGCTGTGCAGGGTGCAGACTGCTGGTGGCAGAGAGTGGCGAAGTCTGGCAAAGGTGCTGTGCAGGGTGCTGTGCCAGACTGCGGTGGCGAAGACTGCGGTGGCGAAGTCTGCAAAGGTGCTGTGCAGGGTGCTGTGAAGGGTGCTGTGAAAGGTGCTGTGCAGGGTGCTGTGCAGGGTGCTGTGCAGGGTGCTGTGCAGCGTGCTGTGCTTTGGTTCCCACGTTGGCAAACATCAGTTCCAACCTTTATAGGAACTGGAAGTTCTTTGCCATGTTAACCTATGGTTCCCAGGTTGGGAAGCATGAGTTCCAACCTCTGGGAACCGGCAGTTGCTTGCAATGGTAACCCATGGTTCCCAGGTTGGGAACCAGGAGTTCCAACCTCTGGGAACCGGCAGTTCCTTGCATTGGTAACCTGTGGTTCCCACATTGGCAAGCGTGAGTTCCAACCTTTGGGATCCGGCAGTTCCTTGCCATGAACCAAACGCAAACATTCTGGTACCGGTCCATTAAGCAAAACAAAGCGTTCTTTACCGGTCCATTAAGCAAAACCATAAAGTTGTAAAGAATAAAGAAAATGTTTTCATATCATTTTGACATGCACCTTTGTCGTGCAAAAACATTTTTATGCCGGCCCAGCAGCCGAACGCAAACATTCCACTACCGGTCCATTAAGCAAAACAAAAGGCTCTGTTACCGGCCCAGTAAGCAAAACAAAACAACATTAAGAACCATGAGTTCGAACTTTTTGGAATCAACAGATCCTTCCACTGGTAACGTATGCTTTTTGAGGTTTGGAACCATGAGTTTCAAGCTTTCGCAACCGGCAATTCCTTACAATGATAGTTGCTTAGCTTCGAAAACATAAATTCTAACTTCTGGGAACCGGCAATTCCTTGCAATGGTAACCTCTGGTTCCCAGGTTGGGAACCGTAAGTTCCAAGGTCTGGGAACCGGCAGTTCCTTGCCATGGTAACCTTTGGTTCCCACGTTGGGAACCATCAGTTCCAACCTTTAGGAATTGGAAGTTCTTTGCAATGGTAACCTATGGTTCCCAGGTTGGGAAGCATGAGTTCCAACCTCTGGTAACCGGCAGTTGCTTGCAATGGAAACCCATGGTTCCCAGGTTGGGAACCAGGAGTTCCAACCTCTGGGAACCGGCAGTTCCTTGCAATGGTAGCCTGTGGTTCCCACGTTGGCAACCGTGAGTTCCAACCTTTGGGAACCGGCAGTTCCTTGCCATGAACCAAACGCAAACATTCCAGCACCGGTCCATTAAGCAAAACAAAGCGTTCTGTACCGGTCCATTAAGCAAAACCATAAAGTTGTAAAGAAACTGCTTTCATATCATTTTGACATGCACCTTTTTCGTGCAAAAACATTTTTATGCCGGTCCAACAGCCAAACGCAAACATTCCGCTACCGGTCCATTAAGCAAAACAAAAGGTTCTGTTACCGGCTCAGTAAACAAAACAAACAACATGAAGAACCATGAGTTGGAAACTTTTTGCAATCAACAGACCCTTCCGCTGGTAACGTTACTTTTCAGGCTTGGAACCATGAGTTTCAAGCTTTGGGAACCCGCAGTTCCTTACAATGATAGCCGCTTAGTTTCGAAAACATAAATTCTAACTTCTGGGAACCGGCAATTCCTTGCAATGGTAACCTCTGGTTCCCAGGTTGGGAACCGTAAGTTTCAAGGTCTGGGAACCGGCAGTTCCTTGCCATGGCAACCTTTGGTTCCCACGTTGGGAACCATCAGTTCCAACCTTTAGGAACTGGAAGTTCTTTGCAATGGTAACCTCTGGTTCCCAGGTTGGGAAGCATGAGTTCCAACCTCTGGTAACCGGCAGTTGCTTGCAATGGTAACCCATGGTTCCCAGGTTGGGAACCATGACTTCTAACCTGTGGGAACCGGCAGTTCCTTGCAATGGTAACCTGTGGTTCCCACGTTGGCAAGCGTGAGTTCCAACCTTTGGAAACCGGCAGTTCCTTGCCATGAACCAAACGCAAACATTCCGGTACCGGTCCATTAAGCAAAACAAAGCGTTCTGTACCGGTCCATTAAGCAAAACCATAAAGTTGTAAAGAAACTGTTTTCATATCATTTTGACATGCGCCTTTGTCGTGCAAAAGCATTATTATGCCGGCCCAACAGCCAAACGCAAACATTCCGCTACCGGTCCATTAAGCAAAACAAAAGGTTCTGTTACCGGCTCAGTAAACAAAACAGAACAACATTAAGAACCATGAGTTCTAACTTTTTGCAATCAACAGATCCTTCCCCTGGTAACGTTACTCTTTCAGGCTTGGAACCATGAGTTTCAAGCTTTGGGAACCCGCAGTTCCTTACAATGATAGCCGCTTAGCTTCGAAAACATAAATTCTAACTTCTGGGAACCGGCAATTCCTTGCAATAGTAACTTCTGGTTCCCAGGTTGGGAACCGTAAGTTTCAAGGTCTGGGAACCGGCAGTTCCTTGACATGGTAACCTTTGGTTCCCAAGTTGGGAACCATCAGTTCCAACCTCTAGGAACTGGAAGTTCTTTGCAATGGTAACCTATGGTTCCCAGGTTGGGAAGCATGAGTTCCAACCTCTGGGAACCGGCAGTTGCTTGCAATGGTGACCTCTGGCTCCCAGGTTGGGAACCATGAGTTCCAACCTCTGGGAACCGGCAGTTCCTTGCAATGGTAACCTGTGGTTCCCACGTTGGCAACAGTGAGTTCCAACCTTTGGGAACCGGCAGTTCCTTGCCATGAACCAAACGCACACATTCCGGTACCGGTCCATTAAGCAAAACAAAGCCTTCTGTGCCGGTCCATTAAGCAAAACCATAAAGTTGTAAAGAAACTGCTTTCATATCATTTTGACATGCACCTTTTTCGTGCAAACACATTTTTATGCCGGCCCAACAGCCAAACGCAAACATTCCGCTACCGGTCCATTAAGCAAAACAAAAGGTTCTGTTACCGGCTCAGTAAACAAAACAAAACAACATTAAGGACCATGATTTTGATCTTTTTGGAATCAACAGATCCTTCCACTGGTAACGTATGCTTTTTCAGGTTTGGAGCCATGAGTTTCAAACTTTGGGAATCCGCAGTTCCTTACAATGATAATTATTGTTTAGCTTCGAAAACATAAATTCTAACTTCTGGGAACCGGCAATTCCTTGCAATGGTAACCTCTGGTTCCCAGGTTGGGAACCGTAAGTTTCAAGGTCTGGGAACCGGCAGTTCCTTGCCATGGTAACATTCGTTTCCCACGTTGGGAACCATCAGTTCCAACCTTTTCTATCTGGGGTCTATGCCGGTGTAATTCTATGGTCATTTTCAATAGCTTTTTGTATGTTTACCAGAGGGTAATTCGTATAACTCATTTGGACTGGACCGCAGCCTTTCAGCGGCAAACGTGCCGCTGGGCATCGCTTCGTTCTCTTGAAAGACATGGAGGCGTTCAGCCTCAGCTCAGGAAGCCTCACTGGAAGGACCAGACCGAGGGCGATCGTGTCGATCGTGTCTGGCAGCAATCTGCAGCAGCTTGTCTTTCAAGACCCAAGGAATTTATGTTCTTTGCATGTTTTGCATGTTTTGCAGAATGGATCAGAATGGCATGACTCACAATTTACATCAATTTACATCAATTTACTGATAAGTTTCATGAGTGCCAGTCGACTGCTTGCTAGCAGTTGCTACTGTAGTGTTGTTACTGGAATTGGGGTGGTGTTTGTCGCTCTCTCAACAAGAGATGATGTCCCGGTGCTTCTGTCGATGTCAATCTGCACAATTGTTTGTGCCTTGTTTGTCGTGGTCGACATTGTTTGTTGTGGGCCATCCCATTAATTTGATGCTGAAATCTATGTTAGTCATTGTTAGTCATCATATTTCCTATCAACAAGACAAATTTCCGACAAATCCATTCTTCATGGCATGCGGCAGTTGAACGTTGGAAGACAAGGTCATGGACATCAGCGACATCGCGAGGATCTGTTAGATCCGTTGGTCTTGGAGCTTTCATTGGTCTGGTCTTGGCATTCGGCATGGCCGGTCGGCGTCGAAGGGTGGGAGGGGTAGGCCGGGTAGGCAGTTGGCGAAGTTGGCGTCCGTGTCGGGAGGAAAGTCCGGAGATTGTGGAGGAAGTGCCACAAAATGTGGAGCTCAGCTTGTCCGCGGCCTTCCAAAGGATTCTTCAACCTAGTCTGGCAAACGGCTGGACCTTGCTTGGAGATTTGTTGACCTGTGGCCTTGCGGCTCCTTTGTTGGCGATCTTTTACTTGAGAGTTGGTGTTTTACATCCAGATTGGTTTACTGCCATCGCAGATGCAGAAAAGGATTTCATTTTTCCGGAATTTGCACATGGGGTCATTTTCTCATTGTGCTGGTGCTATGGAGGGCTGGCCATTGGTGCTTTCGAAGCAGATGCTGTGAATCCTCAGAATCTGTTGCAGACCATTCAGCGGACAATTTACTCAGGGGCAGTGACAGCTTGGCTTGCCAGTGTGGTGCGATCTTTTCTTACATTGAGTGGCAACCTGGAAGCAGCCTATGCGTTTTGTGGATACTCTGTAGCTTAGCTGCACGAACAAATGGTTTAGTCAAACGATAGGTGTCAAACAGGAAAGGCCCTCCTTGTTTTTCTTTAGATGGCGCAAAAATGATTGACCCCGCAAAATGGGATGGTTTGTTTCCAAACCTGAGCGATGTTATGGGTCCATTGTGATGAATGCACCCAGGCACCACTGTCGCACGCCATGCCAAGCTACCCCGATTTCTTCATTGACCTGCTATTTGAGGCCTGGTTTTGGGTGAAGTCATTGGGGTAGCAGTGGACCCACAAACAGGGGAATCTGCAAAAACTGCAAGGGACCTATCGAGCAGCACCCTAGAGTCTGAAGTCATGAAGTAGAGTCCTTCAAACCGGGGCCTGGACAAGTTCCTGCGTGACTCCTTCTAGGGTATGATGATATGGGTATGGGTCAATACCTGTAGATACATTTTTAGTGGGATGAACATCCATTTACCAGCTATTTTGATGTTCACCAGGGGTACAAGGTTTTGACACACTGCCATATGACAGGTGTTCAATTTCAATAAACCTTCCATGTCGGCCACAGGTGTTCCTCCTGGTGGCTTGGCGCTTCACAGCAGCTGTGGTACTTGCAAAGAGCCCAGTGCCAGAGTGACTTGACTTGGCCCGGATCTGGTAATCAAACCTGGCCTGGCAATGGAACATCCCAAATCCCACATATATGTATATATATAATATATATATATATTATATTACATAAATGATATATATATATATACTATATTACATAAATGATTTTTCCACTAAGCTCTTCAGGGGGTTTCCATGGATTTCCCATTGCCATGTTCAAGGGTTTTTTGTTGGTGGCAGTTTTCTGAGGCGCGATGACACTGAAGTCGACGGCCGTCTGCTCTTTGGCGACTTGCTGGCAGCTGGATTTATCACACCTACCCTGGTCATCGAGGTCTTCTTCAAGACTCAGGCGGCGTTGCCTTCAAAAACCATGTTGTTTGAGGATTGTGGGAGACTATACTACCCTTATCATAATCCCTTTGGGAAAACGTTCGGCAATTCTTGTGCTCTTCGGGGGTTTCTTAAAAATGCGGGACCCCTAATTTTCCTTAACATTGGTGATGTTTGCTGGGGGAACCCATCGATGTTGGGGTACCACACCTTTTAGAACCAGCCTAATTACCAAATTTCATGCAATCTCATTGCATCCGAACATCAACGCCTTTGGCCTCCCCTGCCCAGACATACACGCCTCTATGGACGGTCTTTTGGGATGTGTCGGATTATGGCGTTTGGAAACCCATCCTGGCACACGGCTCTATCCTGGCCGTTTGCTGGCTGGTGGGTGCCTTTGCGGCTGGTGCCTATTCCAAGGATGCGCTGGCGCCGAAGCCTGGCTACAGATGGACTGTTCATTTGGAGCATTAACCATCCAATTTTAGGGCCACTCAATTTTCTCGTGGGGTGACTAAGATATGGCTTTGTCCAGAAATGGGGATACTCCGAATCCAGCGATGAATCATGATATATTCCCCATTTCAATGGTAAGTTTTAGGAGAATGCCACATCTTCAGACAATTTTGGTGGGAATAATGATGATAAACCATTGGATTCTGGGGTACCCCTAGTTGAAGAAACCCAGATGGTGGGGTCGCTGTGTTCGAAGATTGGATGGTGGACATCCACACATTCCCAAATTCTCAGAATCAAGGCGACACTGTTTTGCAGTTGCCTGCTTGACATGAGGGTTTGACAATCCCAGGATCGATCTACCACTGATCTTAAAGCGGCTATGGACTGCTGGAATCATTGCAACGGTCCTTCTGGGGGCCTTCAACTTCCTCAGTGGCAACTTGGTAGAGTCGCAAGGTTTCCTGACGGCCTATTCCGCTGATGTAACGCTGCTCGGCTTTGTTTTTGAATATGTGGGTTGTTGGGACCTGTAATTACAGAAGCAGGCGGGTTGGCAAGACGTTGGAAAATGATTTCCATCTATGAGATACCTCAAAGACTGGCAAGATGCTTGAAAAGTGCACCCAAGGATGCAGAAACAATTCTTTGACTTCACGACGGATGTGGTCTTTGCAGCGGTTTGCTTAACAACATGGCGGCTATACTTTGCGGGATACATTTAGTGCACAGGACATATATATCAGTTTACACTCGGCAGTAAACAGTGAAGCTGCTTGAGAACAACCTGTCTCACCCCAACCTCACTGGAAAAAGCGCAAGATCAGCATAGTCTGAGTCACTCTTCGAGTCATGGCTTAGTTGATGCTCAGAGTGGCTCCGTGTCGCAGGGTGTTGCGATTTCCAAGATCCAAAGCCAAGCTGTGTTCACTGCCAGGGTAGCTGCCTTTCATGGCAACAAGCCCACGGTCCCCTCCTCAACTTGGCCGGGGCGTACCGCTCCGTACGGTGCGTCGTGTGTTGCCTAGGTTGTTCGACTTAAGTGAGTTGCCAGCTGGTTCACCTGTTCAGAGCCCGCGACCGGGAAAACAGGTGGGCACATTTTTGGAGGTTTGCTTCGGAATACCCGACCTGAATCGACCTGAGGTAATCTTTATCATTCTTTATCACACTGTCATGGGATGGCGATTCGTACAGTACGACTAGAAGGATTTGCGATAAGTTTTAGGAAGGACTTGCATACCAATGATCTTGTGGCTGCAGCCTTTCAGGCAAGGCACTTCAGTGCTGACAACAACTAGTATCACTTTTAGGCTGAGAGACTTACACATGCAGTGGTTCTTTTCAATCTGCCATCAAGGATGACATTGACAAGTAGTCGGAGCGTTTGTCCTAGATGTGCCAAAGAGCACCAACGGCATTCTGCCAGCAATACTTCAAATTCCACTAGACACCGTCAATGTGGCAAGCCTGGTATGGCGCATGCTGAAACTGAGAGTGGTTGGATGCTCAGGTCAGACTGGTTCAAGACAATGGAATTGGGAATAACGGAATAACCAACCAGTGACTGCCTTTGGTTAAATATTATCACTTATACACGACTACACTTTGGGCTTTGGCCGTTTCGTGTGCGCAAGGATGGTATCATCGAAGGCCGAAAGTGTCTGCGCGAAGAGGGTTGAGAGAATTGAACGGGCAAAGGTCCAAAACTTCAAACGCTTCGATCCAATGACCTGAAAATAAGTCTGGACTGGAACACTGTGATGCGATAAGGTGATGTATCATAGAAACATGACTAGAGGCCGCTGGACCCGCCGGATGCCATCGAAACTGCTGCTAGAACGCATTTTGCAGGCAAGGACACATGGCAACCTTGGGCAACCACCTTGCTCCGGTATTCCAAACCGAGTCCAGTCCGCTGGAGTCTTGTTGATTGGTGACCAAGTTGACAAGGCCTTCTCCAGAAGGCGAAGGACTCAGTTGCTATGTATACTTCCGCTGCAGGAGCATTTTTCCTTGTGAACACTGCCCTTGTTGTGTTCTCGTTCGCTGTAAATCCGAGGTTTTTGCGCCGTGTGTCGGCTCGAAGCTGGAGTTGATCTATTCAGGCTGCACAATTTCTTCCAGTTCTACTAGTGGTAGCTCCACCAAAAACTTGCAGAGATCTGAGCGACAAAGAGATGAGTTTGTCCGAAAGGAGGGTACGATAGGGTACCCCAAATCCAAAGATTTTTATATCATGCTTTTACAACATGTTACTGTATATTATATCTTATTAATCAGCATTTTCACCATGATCGTGAACTATTCCGTTGCAATCTCCGTCATCATTTCATCATCTTTCGGCACTATTAGACTATAGTTGCCATAGCTTGGGAGATTTTATCATATTTGATCCTCATTTTCCCCAGGAGAGTTGCCAATTTTCTTGGGCGAACGTCCCTATTTTAGGGACATTTCAACACCCAACAAATCCGCACGAGACCGTGGTGGACCGCATGGACGAGTTCTCACCGAGCTCTTTGCCTTGGCGGTGCGCCGTTGAGTCCTCGCTTCCGCTGGGAGAAAGGGATAGATCGATCGCCAGGACACAAAGCAAGACGGCTCAGTAGTATTTGGGCTTGCTGATTCCTCAGGAGTTTCCTAATTTTTTGTGGAATTCAGAATGTCAAAGAATGTCGGCCATTTTGATCCATTTTGTTGAATCACTGAGGTGTATGCTTTGCTCTCGCTTCCTTGGAACCGAAAGGTGGTACCAGGCAGCTGAATACTTTTGGATTCTAAACTTCAGTGCATCTATTCTTTGAATCGCAAGTCTTCATGAGGATACTATGACTATTTGTCTCTGATGCGAGCGTCCTCCCGGCCTTTCTTGTGCTGATCTTTGCATTGGATACAACCTTTTGAGAGCTCAAATGCTTTGCATTTGTTTGGCAGGTTGGATGAGTCTGATGTGGTGGTCCGCGTGCAGCGCTGAAGATCATGACTCCCACCAAATGGGCAAAGAATGACAAAGAGATCCAAAGAGTCTTCAGGTGCAGCTTCAGTCCCAAGGCTTTGGCTGCAATGTCTTCTCGATTTGTGGATTTGCGGAGACCAGTCAGGCAAGGTATGGTTGAAAGATTAGGACGCGATTCAGTCATTGCCATCAACAGACGTTGCCTTAGGATTTGGTTGAGTCTGATGTGTGTGTGTCTTGGGAAAGGGAGCGGTTGCTCTTCCTTTTTGCTGATATGGCACGGAGCCAAGCCATACGACTGGTGGTGACTTGTGTATTTTTTCCTGCAGCTAGCCAGCCTGAAGTCTTCCAACGATTCAAAAGGAGAGATGCATTGTAGCAGGTAGCAAAAAGACACCAGGATGTTATCCGTAAAAGGCCGTTTGCCAGGTCAAGTATGGCTTCCCCTTCCGGGGCAAAATGTAACTTGTGTGCCTTGACTTACTTGCCTCGATTGCTATACTGTAAATGGTCAAGAATACCATGCTGTCAAGATCTGCCAAGCTTAATTACTTTTAGTTACTACTAGATTCGGCTGATTCATCACTGCAAGAGCACAGAGGTGGAAGCCAGTTGGCCAAAGGCACGATTAATGTGAGATATGTGGGATTGATGTGAGCGCCACCATCTATTTATGTGTGCGCCACTCATCACCAAAATGCACAACGTCCAGGCCGAGTCGGTTCTCTTGGCCTTGCAGAGGCTTGGGCTTTTATTTAAGCGCATCAGACAACACTGTTTCATCGCAAACATCGCAGGGCTGCGCCTCCAGGGAATCTTTGGCCTGGTGTAGCCCGGGGCCTACCGGGGGAAGTCGGGCTTCGTAGTGTAAGAATTTCTCCAAAATTGCTGATGCGATTCCAACTGAAGACTACGGATGACTCGTGTTGGGAATGTGATCGGAATTTGTGCGTGGGGAAGCTTTGGAGACGTTCCTTGCTCCGGTGTAATGGTCTCGCCCGCCCAGGCTGCTCAAGAGTCGTGAACTATTGTGTAGCCCGTTGTCAAACGCGGTAACCATGTCGGTTGTGGATGGATTGCCGTTTGCAGAGGATAAGAAGGATTACATCCTCCAGACCCTCGACCCCATTTTGGAGGAGATGGTCAGTGACCTGGACTAGATAAAAAATTGCAAGATGGTCAGATCTCGTCCTGTCTTTTCCGATTCCAATGCCTAAGACCTGCCCTGCAAAGGGTGCGTAAACTTCTTAGCTTGCTCCAGTGTAGTTCTTTTTGCAGACTCTAAATGGGCGCCTTGTGTTGGATGATAGGAAGGGTCTACGCCCTTTGTGTTGGTTATTCGTTTTCTAAATGCCCTTGATTGAACAGTCGTCAATTTAGACCCAGCCCAGGTGACGTCCTCCAGGAGATGCCAACTATCCCGATGGACTTCATGATCCAGTGGCTCAACAAGCGAGCAGGAAAGGCCGCAGCATTCAGCGAGCATGTCTCTGTGACCCAGAGGACGCCGATTGAGTCGTGGGGTTGATTTTCTTTGGGAGTCTTGCTGCTTCTCCTGTTCGTTTATAGTCTGTTTGGATCTGTTTAGGGTATTGCTGGTCCCCTGCACACAATTTCTGTCAATTTCTGATTTCAGATTCCTGTTGTGTGGCAAGTCCAACAGACTATGGAACAGTCGTTCCGGGATCTTTAGACGGCTTTGCTCGACACAGCAAAGTCACACATTGGGCGCGTTGATTCTTCCTCGCTTTTCTTGTGTTGCAGCAGGGTTGCCTTCTTATTTGTTCCAAGGCACTGCACCACACATCTTCCCTTCCAACTTTACAGCTTTGCAGCTTTGCAGGAACCAGATGCTGAAGCAAGAACTGCGTTCCTTGCAGGAATCTTTACATGAGGCAAGCACTGCGGCCGTTTCAGCCGTTGAAAATGTGGAGGATGAAGAGGAAGAGGAAGACGATGAAGACGATGAGCCCCCTGAGGGTTGGCTCAAGTCTGAGGACCGGCGAACCAGTCGATACCGTGCGCACAGCGCACATGGTGATCATGGTGCGATGACACGGTGGTGGGGAATCTGCAGGTAATGATTTAACCATAACCAGTCCTTGGATCAAGTTGCAGGGTATAGCCATAGCCTGGGACTCCTTGGAAACCAAGATGACCAAAACTGGTCGAATGGGCAAAGTTAGATTTGCAATGAATTGCACAATACTAGCAAACCTAAAGCAGCTGCAGAAGCATTTTTCATTTTTTGCGAAACGCAACTGCCAAAAGGCTGCATCGGTGGAGTCTCAAATGTTGGTTATCTTTCAATTGATCCGCTGAAGTGCCATCAGTGCCATCTACTTGTCACAGGAGAGTCAGTCGAAGACCCGCACGTCGGTGAGTGCTGAAGCATATGGAGAGTGGAATGCCAAGAAAGCTTTCACACCGCCAAATCATCCAAAGAGTGACGATCAAAAGCAGCGCTTGAAGCAGACCCTTAACAAGAGCTTCATGTTTTCAGCCTTGGAAGAGAAGGACATGCAGTTGGTCTTGGGTGCCATGAAGGAGTGCAAGGTTGAGGCAGAGATGACATTCTGTCACCAAAAGCACTTTGCGGATGTTTATCCGCAAAACCTATTGTATCATTGAGGGGATTGACTCGCATTGAGCTGTTTTTCAGTTCACCAGCCACGTTTTTGATCCAGACCCATTTCAGTCTTTCTGAGTCTTTCTCTTGTGCCAGGCTGGAGAGAAAGTCATCACCGAGGGTGACAATGGTGACTTCCTTTTCGTGATCGAGAAGGGTACGTTGAATTGCATCAAGTCTGTGAATGGTGAGGAAAAGGTGGTGAAGACGGTCAACGAGGGCGATGTGTTTGGAGAGCTTGCACTTCTCTACAACTGCCCTCGTGCAGCTTCGGTTATGGCTGCGGATGTGCTTTGGCAGCGGTTCATGGCAATCTCATGTGTCTTATCATTTTACAATCCAAAATGAGAACGCCAGGAACAGTGAAATGTGAGTGCAAGGTGCATCTGTTGTTTGTGTCCCTTGGGGGTTGTGGTTGCCCTGTTTTGAGGCCTGCATCTGCTGGCAGCTGGACCGAGAGTCCTTCAATCACATCGTGAAGGATGCCGCTGTGGCTCGCCGCACCAAGTATGACGAGTTCCTGAAGTCAGTGAATCTGCTGTCCTCTTTGGAGGCCTATGAGCGCTCTCAGATTGCAGATGCTTTGGTGGCAGAGACTTGCAAGAAGGGTGATACCATTGTCAAGCAGGATGATCCTGGTGACAAATTCTACATTGTGGAGGAGGGAAGTCTCTATGCGCTGAAGAACTTTGGCAGTGAAGAAAAGCGAGTGATGGAGTACAAGCCTGGAGACTACTTCGGCGAGTTGGCTTTGTTGAAGAATCAGCCACGGGCTGCCAGTGTAGTGGTGGAGAGTGAGACTGCCAAGGTGCTGTCCATGTCTCGAGTCTCCTTCAACAAGATGCTTGGACCTTTGGCAGACCTACTCTCTTCCAAGGTTTCCTCCTACACCTGATGACATCACCACGTGACCGGTGCGTGATGCGCCTGCTGGGTGAAAAATCTGTGGAAAGCACTTCGAAGACTTCGCCCTGTGAGCCGCGCCGGCTGTACGAAAATCGTGCAGCTGCAAGCCATCCCATACGCTGCAGCTGCGCATTGTCCACCTCAAGTCTGACCTGTGCATACACAGGCTGGGCTGTATGAAAGGCCTTAGATGGCAATGCTGGTCCCATTGCAAGGAATCCTACATATATATATACATATCATATCACACCATGTCATGTACTGTATACTTGCACTGTAAGAAGACAGCATTCTTACATACATGGTTTACGCATGACAGCTTATCTGGCATTTTTGTGCCAACTTGCTCAAAGTGATATGAGCAGCTGGGCCAGCAGGACATTCTGTAATGTGGGAAAGGGCACCTTGAACCCTTTGCAGCTGCACCGATTGTGACACTTGCTTGACACTGACACTTTCCTGCACGCAAAACATTTTTCTGGCGCGTGCTTGGCCTTGCACTGAGGACTGATGGGATTTTCAAGACAATCTAGTCTGCAACAATGAATTTCAACGTCTTGAGGATTGCCAATTTTGGTCAACTGTACCAAAGGTCTAAGTTTAAGTAAGTACCTTGAGCATTAAACCAACCGCCGTGACTGGGACATACTGGGACTTCTTAATCAAGTGACTTGTGCAATGCTGATACTGGATCGTTCAAAGGCGCAGCTGATTTCCTCACTTCTGAGCTGCTTAGTTGCCTCACCCTCAGTTGGGGGAGGTTACAAAATTGCAATGCATGCAAATTGATCTACCAAGTGGATCAAGTACTAAAGTTACAAAAGTTACTAAAGTTCACTGAAGTGGCCCAGAACTTGAGCTAAGGCCCAAATCAGCTGGATTTTGGACATCGAACCCGCAGCAAGGTTGCCAGCACCCCAGCAATGGCCATTTTGCCATTCCTATTTCGACGCACGCAAGTCACGGTTGCCGAGGACACTCCTTTGGCTCGTTCGTCAACTCCTCAGTCCTTGGCACATCCAGTACACATCCTAAGCTGTGGGAACTCTGGGAACACCTTTGTCTCTGCAACCTGCATGAGAACAGGCACCGCGTGTCATTTCCACAGTTTGTTCCGCTAAAACTGGTGCGTGGCAAAGGGCTTCCATCATCAATTTTTGATGTCAGAACCTATTTGCCCAAGCAACTTTTGACCATCAGAATCAGGCTGGAGATTCAAGTGTTTCCAACTTGGGAGCAGACCCATATGTGCCATGATTACAGGAGATGTTGTTTTTGAGTCTTCGGGGATGGCTCAAGAGTCGTAGTGATAACAGCAGATTATGTCCACAACATGATAGAAATTGGGCAAAGGTGGGAGGACCATCCAACACATCATCCACCGCAATAGAAATCCGCAGAATTCGAAGGCTGGACCAGCTTCGTTGAGCAGATGTCCGAAACAGCCAGCAGCTCAGAGGTGAACTGACAACACCAAGCTTGAAGGCTGGTAGCTCCATTGGTTGAAGTTGTGAAGCCAAAAGCTATTGGAGCTGCATAGTGGTGGCCATTCTTCATGATCTTCGACAATGGCAATGCATTGCTCAGAAGAATCTCAGGATTTGGACGACATGAAAACAGATGACCTGCGACAGGAACTTGTTGAGGTCCAGCTAAGGGTTCCTGGAGTCAGTTCGTCAATATCGTTTAGCCATTTCGGAAATGTGTTGAAAATCGTACCGACAAGCCTCGGCACATAATCAGACATAATCATGGATTTTTCTGCAGCAGAAAGGGGCAAGAAAAGGTAGAACTCAATGAACCGATTTTTGTGGGTATGGGAGTGAGTTTCCAAATTGCAGGCCTTGCTTTTTCAAAAGCAAGTGTTCAGTCAAGTGCAGGTGGCTTCCTTGTTACCTCATGACCGCTGGACCGATATGGCTCAGGCTACACGGTTGCTGGCCACCAAAGAGACGCTACAGGCTGCATCAATGTGTGACCAAAGGGACTTCATGGTGGAATTTTCTTCAGATTGACGCCAGGACTCCACAAATTCCATGATGTTCACTGTTGCATCTGTTGCATGTTAGGGCGAAGCGTTGCACTGGGTTTGGCACTCAGTTCGCCACAGTTCGCTGCATGAAATCTCTGACTCAACTCTCATCCCAAGGCGCAAGTGGCCTGCCGTGTGCCATTGGACTTCAGGTCTATGGCTGGTAAGGAGCAATGCCCCAAGGCTGGTTCAACAATGCAGATTCGCTTGGGCAGAGGAAAGAGACACAAACATAGACATGATCGTTTGGCGGAAGGATTTTCTGGCCAACGGCTTCAGAATATTGAAAAAATCTATATATCTATATCTAGATTTAATATCTCAATCTATCCATCTATCCATCCATCCATCTATCTTTCTTTCTTTCTATCTATCCATCCATCTATCTATCTTTCTATCTATCCATCCATCCATCTTTCTTTCTATCTATCCATCCATCCATCTTTCTTTCTATCTATCTATCCATCCATCCATCTTTCTTTCTTTCTTTCTATCACCTACCTAGCTAGCTAGCTAGCTATCTGTCCATCTACCTATCTAACTATCTAAGCTATCTACCTGCCTATCAATCAATCAATCAATCAATCAATCAATCTATCTATCTAGCTAGCTAGCTAGCTAGCTACCTACCTCATCTACTAATCTAACCTACTAATCTACTAATCTACTAATCTACTAACCCACTAATCTACTAATCTACTAATCTATTTATCTCTCTATCTGTCTATCTGTCTATCTGTCTCTCTGTCTATCTGTCTATCTGTCTATCTGTCTATCTGTCTATCTGTCTATCTGTCTATCTGTCTATCTGTCTATCTGTCTATCTGTCTATCTGTCTATCTGTCTATCTGTCTATCTGTCTATATGTCTACCTGTCTATCTGTCTATCTGTCTATCTGTCTATCTGTCTATCTGTCTATCTGTCTATCTGTCTATCTGTCTATCTGTCTATCTGTCTATCTGTCTATCTGTCTATCTGTCTATCTGTCTATCTGTCTATCTATCTATCTATCTATCTGTGTATCTGTGTATCTGTGTATCTGTGTATCTGTGTATCTGTGTATCTGTGTATCTGTGTATCTGTGTATCTGTGTATCTTTGTATTTGTGTATCTGTGTATCTGTGTATCTGTGTATCTATGCAATGAAATGTATTTATATAATGTAATGTCTTGTAATACAATGCAATGGATTTAATGCAATTTAATGCAATTTAATGCAATCTAATGTAAAATGTAATGTAGTGCAGTGTTATGTTATGTTAGGTTATGTAATGTATGTACACATACACATACATATACGTATGTATATGGCTCCTGACAAAGGACCGACATGGATCAACATTTGTCTCACAAGTTGACTTGTTCCTTTTTTTTGGGATCTTGGAGCCTCCTGCCCAACAATATGATGGTATGTTCGGCCAGGAGGACTATGCGCATTTGCTGACAGTTGCTGAGATGCTTGGACCCGATGTTGGCTGGGAGAGTCCATAGGCCATAGGTATGACGTACTATTGCTTTTTGTTGAACCATCCTGACACAAAACTGGAAACCTATGTTTGTTCCCTCAGAGGTGTGAGGTAGGGTGTTCAAGTCGTGCAAATAGTAAAAAGTGAGGACTCAACAAATCCTACACCTGCTGAAAGCAACGCCGGATCAGGAGGTTGGCGATCTTTCGATGTGGGTGTCTGAAAATGGGTATGCCGGTACTCCCGAAATGGCAATTGCAATGGGGATAATAGGGAAAATATGGGAAAATGAATGACGATTAAGTAGTCGATTTGGGGTACTGCATTGAGACAAACCCGCGACAGGCTCGAATGCTGCCGTTGTTTTTCAAGCGAAACCTGGAGAGTCAGGGAGGAGGCGACCAGCCTTTGGGGGGAAGGAACCTGGGCGAGGCACCATGGATGGAATGGATGTTGTGAGCCTTCAAGAATGTCAACTGTGAAATTCGGACACGGAGTAAGAACATTCCGACAGGTGCCAACAGAACCCGGAGTAAGCGGTAAGCGTATTTGGCATGCGGGGCCTTAGCAAAACCCGATAATGCTATAATGATGTTGACATCCAACACAGTCCAATTCAGCACGGGCAACGTGCCATCGGTTCAGATCCGATTTTTTTCCTGGCTGAAGGCAAAGATGCTCATCTCGCAGTTGGCAGCTCAGAGAAATCTGACCAGCTGGGTTTGCCCACTTCCATGACGCTGGCTAAGGGTTGCTTCATGTCTGTACCTCACCTGCAGCTTTTAAATCACACCAAATGGGAAAACTCATCGTTTCGCAGGGAAGATGCAGTCACGACATTGCAGCACAGCGCACGTATTTTTCCCCAGAAACAAATGAAGCAAAAGCAAGGGAGTGAAAACGTGAGCCTTGCAGAGAAGCGAGCCTTAGACTCTCAGAGAATCAGGAGGGTTCCACAGGGCCGGATCAAAGTTCTCCGACCCTTTGCTTCCACCTCTGAATCCAATGGGGTTAGCGCTGGCTTCCCAATTTGAGCAGTGCCCTACCGGCACCCGGCTACTGGCAAGTCTTTATGGCGTTTGCAGCGGGAGTCCGTTGCTCCTATCTGTGCTGGGTCTTCGGACAGAGGAAGCGTTCATCAAGCTCTTCTATTGCTGCCAAGCAAATGTGCTTGGTCGCAGGACGGACAATGCAAACGTAATTCGCAAGTGATTCTGGAATGTTCTGGAACTTTTCCCAGTGGATTCGTGCCTCTGTTCAACTTTGCTCAGTAGTTGCTACACATCCTTTACATGCTTTTTCAATCTATCTAAGGTCTTCGGGTGCAGGGAATCAAGATGCTGTAACCATCATCGAACTTTGTATCAGTTTCCAAATGAGTTTCCAAAGACCCCTCTTAGTGCAGGAACTTGGCTCCAGTCCTCTTATCAACTCTCTTCCGGCCGCTATCGAGTGGGCAAGATGCGTTGATGGCCCTCACAGAACTGCAAGTGGCAGTGTCTTTTCTTCCGCTGCGCGAGTTTGAGCTGGGTTCCTTTCGCTTTCTCTGTTGGCTTGTGGCAAATTCTGCTGGCAGCAACGGCATCTTTCTGTTGCTGTTGAAGCTCAGTAGCAGGCTCTTCCCGAACCGGAACAACTGTGATCAGTTGGAGCTCACCTGCAGCCAAGGGCCATGGAGTCTAGCCATGATATGCCTCACTCTTCAGGCGTTGGAACATCCAGAAAGCCCAGCGACATTGATGGGCTTCGTTGAGATGAAACAGAAATGGTATCCTTTGGCTATTGGGCTGATGCTCTCAGTTCTGAATGGGTCAGTACAATGGGAGACCTTTGCCGCAGTCCTTTTTGCCTATTTGTGGCGAAGGCTTCGCTTGGACCAATGGCTGCCGTCCAGACAAACAGCTGCGAAGCTGGAAGATCAACTGCAGCTTCCAGGGCTTCTGAGTCTGCTGGGCGGTACATGGATACCTGCACTGAATTCCAGACCCGCCAGGGACAGACCACGGCAAGATCAACGCAGTGCCAAGCTGAGTTGGATGAGTTGAAGGAATTAGAAGATGGGAGTTATAAAGCAATAGTGAACACCCATTCATTGCAATCAATAGTTGCAACAATTGATTGAGTCAAGATACAGTACAGTTCCTAACAACGCTTTCAAAGTGTTCTTTATGTTTCTTTTTTAAGAATGCTAAAGGAACTCTTCCTGCCAAGCACTCAGCTACTCCCCATCCCTCGCCTTTGCCTCTTCCAAGGCACACCTGATCCAGGACCGCAATGGAGAGAGACCCACCTGTTGTCATTGTTCAAAGGTTATACATTGAGCGGGGTAGCCCCTTGAACTCCCTGAAAAAGCTAGAATCACTCGTGTTTGTATATGCAAACGGGGGGTTGGCTGATAAGTACGAATCTGACCCAGTTCAAGGAGAGAATGTGTCGATTGAAGGGTCCTGGAAACTGCCCGTCTCAAAAACGTGATATGGTGTGATATATGAGAGATTCATAGATATGCAACACATATTTTACCATGTTTTTATTGGTTGGAATGTGGGGATTGAATGGAACCACAGGGACAAATCAGGAGAAATGCGATTCCCTGCAAGGAGCATCCAGCTTCCGACTCTTTGGTGGACAGGGGCATCGCCTCAGCGACTGAGTTGGAAATTTATCACCTTTGGGGCGCGCCCGTCGTATTCACAGAGCTGGTACAGTACAGATGCGGCTCAGTGGACTCAGAGAGGAAAACAACTCAAATTGGGACGGGGGGGCTTGAGTGAACATGCCTGATTTGTATTGATTTGTTGCAAAGCACTTTGTGACGTGAATCCAATGCCCAGGATGTGATTCTCTTCGCCATGGCTGCAGCAGCATCTGTGCTACTCTCATGACTTCGAGTCCGCAGAAAGAATTCAAATTGAAAGAATGAAAGGTGTAGCTTGTCAGCTTGTCTCTGCAAAATTTCCCTTGATGCGAACATTGAGTCGTTCTGTCCGCCAAGGCCAAGTTGAAGAAACCTTCGCTTTGGCGGGAGTTCTGGCAGCGATCGCTCAGGACTTAGGCGCTTTTGTGAAGGCAAACAGCCACCTGAGTTGGAGAGGTCCCCAGGTTATCCCTTTTCCTTTTACAGATTTTTAAAGCATATATCAAAGCCATGTTTGAACCCTTCTCTCCAGATGTGTTTTTGAGGTCTGGACAAACCCAGGCTGGCAGTTTTTCCAGCCATGCTTTTCCCTTGCCTTGCCGTTGCCTAGTTGTAAGCCCTGCAAGGCCATGTTGGCCTTCTGCTTCATTGCAAGGAAGTGTCTTGGATCAGAACCGGCAGAGGGATCTTGGATGGTGATGGTTTTGTCATGCAAAGGAGAGCCACTACTAATGTTAACCCAGGAATAATCGCCCCCCCCCCAGCTTATTATTACAATGGGTACCAATTTCAAGAGTATTACTCACGAGTTCAAGAGCTCATTGTGCGAAACATAGGTTGCTGGATCTCTTCAGCTGCTTCTCACATGTGCGACGTTGTCAATACTGTACCTGAATTCTATAGCCCATAGTTGGCAGGAACCCTACTAAGCTAGATGCACATTGCTCATAGATGGCCTTTGACCAAAGGAGTCGTTGCCAAGATCACTTTTAAGCTGGGCAAGTACCTTAATGTGCCTCCACAAGAGTGAGCACTTGTGGATACCATTGATGTTTATGGAGGAGTGGATTTCTCTTTGGTGAATGCTGAAATTCCATTGGGAGAGAGAGAGAGAGAGACACACACACACATGTTGATATCATTTGACTTCCATATATAAATGCAATGGCTACATATTGCTGCTATTACTTCTCTGCGCATAAGGCCTGGCTATGGCCGTGCTGCCTTTGCAGAAGTTTTAGGAGGTTCGGTTTGAAGCTCCACCAACGCTGGGATAGTGCTAGCAGGGAAAAGGCGGCAGCTGATTTATTTTTGGGATCCCACGGACTTTGTGCTGAACACTTGCCAGACTTGCCAGGTCAGGGACAAGAGAACATACAGCAGCTGGTGAGTTTGGCTGATCCTTTGCTTCACCCTTTTCTCAACCGCTGCCTGGAAGTGATTGAAAAGGCAAACATTCTGGCAGTGCCTTCGAGTTGGGGATGGACTGCACTCAGACTGCATGCTGTTGGGATTCCATGGATCATTTCCTCCCGAGCTTTTCCTGGCTTAGGATCAGTTGTGAGTCGTGCTTCCCGCATTCTGAAGCACTGCATAGTTATATGTCATATGTAGTATATAAACACTATTTCAGAAAAAATAGGATTGGAACCCTTTGTTTTTGTTTGGTCGACTTTTTCTTGAGGTGGTTGATAGCAACAAGAGGCACGAGCGCATTGGAACGATGAGCTATCTGGTGTCGCATCACTTGTAGGATTTGTTGCGGACCAAAACAGCAGAGACAATATAATGACACTAGTAGATGATCATAGAATCATTAGATTAGCAGATGATCTATGAAGTATTGACAATGATCATAGGTACCCTCTGGTCATTTAACAATTTTAACTTGCGGTAGCTATACCGCACCATTTTTACATTACCAGAGGGTAGATCTTCAGAACGGCAATCCGCCCGGCCATGAGAGCCACCTTGCTGTCGGAGACCCACCGGAACTCTTTTTGGATGGCCTTCAAGAGAGAATCTTTTTTCTCCAGCCATGTTTGATTACCCGAGGGTAAGATCATTTCTCAAAAATTGGATGGGATATGATGGGATTAGGAAAAAGATATGCGGGTCTATATTTATATATTGATACTGCAAATTTTTGGTTGCCAAAGCCAGGTGCATGACGTCGGATTGTTGATCCTGAGGTTTCAGACTTGGCACTTCTTGGTTGGTTTCTCAGCAGTTGTGGCTGTGAAGCCTTGGGTTACTCCATTCCGAATGGCCAAAAGCCTGTGGCTGAAAAGGTTTTGCTATTTTTTGTATTGACCATCCGAGTTTTTGGGCACCCAAAGTGAACTTGCGATCAATATACCACCTGTGCTGTTTCAAGGCAGCAGCTGTGCCGCTTTCTGCCGTTGCTCTTCTGTTTGAGCCTCATGTCCTTGAATGTGCAGACTCAGTTTGACCGGGGTGGCAGATGAAGTGTGGTTTTCACTGCTCCAGGCTTCTACCCGAGCGCCAGCTCAAGGCCTTCGATCGCTTTGATGCAGCACTGGAGATGTTGACTCGTCAATCTCCAAGCCAGGTCCACGTATTGATTGATCTACGGGTGACAGCCCGATCCCCGGTCATCACCCACAGGAGAACCGGGGTAAATCTTTTATAATTTGGGTTGCTAGTTATAATTCACCCAATATCAACCAGTCACATTTTCTTTGTCAAGGTCTTGCTGCTGGCAGCTGCATGCGGTTTTTGGGTCGCCATCTCAGTGGAAAAGCTTAGCAAAACACAGGTGGTTTTGACCCGCAGCTGCACTGAGGTCTGGTTGCGCGAGGTCAAAGATCCCACGAGGCCCTGAAAATATGTCAAGCAGTTGGAATATGTTGGAACATGTTGGAACCAGGAATTACACACAGCTAAATATGATAAATTTGATAAGTTTTAGCGACTGTTTTTAATTGTTTTTAGCTGCTCAGCTTTTCTGCGACTTGCCAGGGAGAAGCCAAGCACAAAGCCAGCTTGCAGCTTGATCTGTTCCATCGTTTTCCTTTCTATTGATTTGTAGCATGAGCTTTAACTAGACCTTCCAAGACGTCGTCGACTTGCTGACCAAGGTTGTCAGTTTTGAGGATGTCTCTGCTGAATGGAAGGCTACCGTGAGGGTTTCATAAAGGGACATGCTTTCCGAACTTACTGAAAGCACCGCGAATTTCAACTGTCATCTAGGATTTGCTCCATCCATTTTGACTATACTAAGTGAGTGTGCCTACAAGATCCGATATTGTTTGTAATTGCATATCATAGATTGCATAATATATAATCTGTTGGTATATATATAATTATATATACATAATATCTAGATACCATATGTTGAGCTTAAATTCTATTTTCTGTCCAACGACTCCCTTGAAGTCTCAAGCTTCAGTCCTCAGTGCAGGCCGTAAAGGCGCTGCAAGAAGAAATGATGCTGGAGTTGAACTCAATTGCTGAGCGACTCCGATGCCGTTCATGGCATGGATTAGCCGATTAGCCTTTCTCCACGCGACAGAACTTTGATGTCTGAGTCGGTTGAAACTTTGCGGTTGAAACTAAGGCTCTCACAGAGATGAAAGCTCAAAAAATCAAAGATGACCAAGAAACACAAGCTCGACAGTGCACGACTTGGGCGAAAATGGATGTTTGATTCACATGTGAATGGAATGCTGGATGATGAAGCAGCTAGGTATACCCCATTGATTTCTGCAACTCTTTGCTTCTCTCATTTCCAACCACAGAAACATTTGATGAAGGGGTGCCTATGAAATACAGCATGCCTTTGGCTCCGTTCCCTTACGTCCAAAGCTCCCTAGGTTTGTGGAGGACAGCGAAAAACGTCTCGGTCTCTTGTACAAGGACTGGCTTTCATGAAAGCTTGGGACCCCGTGTCTCTTTGGAAACACATTTGTGTACTGTAAATGTTTCCGCAATTAGCTCAGCAAGAAGCAGGACATTTTAGCGGGGTCCCTATGAAGTTGGAGTGGCCACAAGCCTTCCCAGCCAGTATTGGCAGGAGTTTGAGGGAGCTTCGGGCGTGCTTGTGCACAGATTCCCGGTGCGGTTTGCAGTTTTGGGTCCTTAACTGGTCAGCTTGTGAGTTTTGCCTGCCGAAAGTAGTTTCATGGTTTGGTTCATCCATTGGAGGCGGCCTGTATTATGTCTATGTACTTGTTCCTGCAAAGCGGTTGGCTATGTCCCATCTCGTGTTTTTTCGGCTCAGCTGATGCAAGAAGTCCAAAATGAGGCATGCTCTCATTGGTCATCTCACTACACAAAGGGTTTCGACCTCTTGCATCACTAGTCACCAGTGATGACGACCCGCACTGGTGCAATGAAGTGCATGTTCAGCCCGATAAAAAGAGAGTTTCAAAGCACAAACTCCTTCAACAGTAGGGAACCACGTAAACAGATTGTGTTGGCTCACAGAACTACACTGATACTGATGCGCCTGCCACATAGCGCCACAAGGCTCAGAATTTCTGTGGCAATGAGACTTAGAGTCCCCGAAGATCAGACTTAAACATCAACAGAGACCTATGTCCAAAACAACCTTTGCTTTGGAAAGTGAGCTGCTCCAGGGTTTACATTCTGACCCTGGACACCTGGAGGCCAAATACCAATGGCCACCTCCAACTCGAGGTTCTTCCGTAGAGGGACACGATGGTGCGGTCATTTCGGGTACTATATGTGGCAAGCAATGAAAGCAAGGCTTAAAACTATGCAGGCGGCATTTTGCATAACTGGTTGTTTGATTCCTTTTTTTGTATCTTCAGAAGATATATGACATAGATATACATAGATAATGGACTTTGCAAGGCTTGCAAGGTGGCTTGTCACTTTAATGTTGCAAATATCCTGCCAGAACATGTCGGATGTGGTGGGAATCTGTGGCACTGTGTGCCCTTGCAGCATGAAATCTGCATCGCACGCTGGTTGCCCCCGTCTATTGCACATGAACAGTGACGGCAACGCATTCACTTTGCCAATCTGACTATGTAATGTACTGTAATGTCTATAACCGTTGAATTCCCTTTGAGGCTCCCACCAGGGCCTCATGGCAAGTCTGCTTTTCCTGGCCGAAGTCGCGACCATGTCCAGGCTGAAATATCGGATTGCGAGGTGCACATCGGAGGAGCAGCTGCGTTGTGCGCTTTTGACAGACTAGCCCATAGACTGGGTGGATGTTTCCCAAGGGCACTTCAGGGAAAAACCGAGCAGCATGATTAAAGAATGCAAGAAGGAATCAAAGCTTTGCCATATCTCTGAATGTTTCTTCTTCGTAAGATTTTACTCCCAGAAGAAATGCAAATGAGGCGAATACTGATACTCACTGATACTTGATCCAGAAAATCAGGGGCAATGCTTGATCTATCGGGAGCATCAGGAGCCAGACTTTCCTGCCATGCTCTCAGAAGCAGCAAGATGGAGGGTCCGCCCACTTAAACCACCACAATTTTGGGTAGCTTTCACAATCGAAAAACACGAGGAACTAAACCATCACATGTCAGTTATGGGTCATACTTGTAGAATGATTCAATAGTTGAACTGGCTTCCGCTCAGAGAAAAGCACCTGGGTCCCCTCAAGCCATGGGCAAAAAAATCGTAAGCCCAGCATAGCCCAGCATCCCTACCGAGGTCTCCGAACTACTGTCCCATTCGCAACAGACGTAGCTTGGTTTGGTTTCGGTGGGTGTTGAGGGGAAGCAAAAATAGAGGAGAAGAGGGTTCCCACAAAGGAAACATGTTTGGAGATTTCGTAGTAAATCTCCATCAGATTCTGGGAAGGTTTTGCTTCTGGATGGTTGCCATTGGTTGCTACACTTGTTGGTAAAATTTTTGCTGAATCAGCAAGATTGTACCAAGCTTGTTCTGCACTGAGGAAGGGATGGCAGACCGCACGATATTGCGACTTCCCACAAGAGGCTTGGGTGTTCTCGGGATGATCTTTTTTTTGCACATCTTGACTGCAGGAGAAAAAGACAACTAAAAATCACCCAGTGTGGAACAGCCAAAGCACTGGCCGCCTGCGCAATGTTGCAACATGGCTGGTTCAAACCGCGCTGTGTCCAGTACTCTGTCTTTTGGTTTTCAAGGTTGCGAACATGGCTGACGTCAGGGTTGGTATCCTGAGCACTGCTTCCATCGTTGGCAAGGTGCTGCCTGGACTAAAGCATGGGATGAAAGTTGTGGGTGTTGCTAGCCGCGATCGGAAAAAAGCCCAAGACTTTTGCAACGAGCATGACTGTGGGGAGGGAATGCTCTATGATGAGATGCTCGACAGAGACGACATCGATGTGCTCTATGTTCCTCTACCTACCGGGCTTCGAAATGACAAGATTGCAGCTGCAATTGAAAAGGGAAAACACATTTACTCAGAGAAGCCTATGGGTGGTAGTATCAAGGAGTTGGATTCGCTGATCAAAGCTTGCAAAAGCAAAGGTCTTCAGTGGATGGATGGCACCATGTGGTATCACTCTATCAGGACTTGCTTCAGCCACTCCCACAACTCAGCTGCCCATACTCTCCTTTTTTGGGATGCTTCCAGCCTCTAGACTTACAACTAGCTGTAACTAGCTGCTCAGCTGTATAAGGAGTACAATCCAAGCTGAGCTGGCTCTAATTGCTTGGGGCTTACTCTTTGGTCTCAGTCAGAGGATTTGTCCATCCAGTGACGTAGGGAGGGGTTGTAGAATAGGCTAGCTAATTTGTGGTACTATTGGTTTAGCTTAGGTATCAACACCCAAAACAAATCAGCTTGGAAGAGAAGAGCTTGTTGATCTTGTTGGCAAAATCTCTGCAGGACCAAAGAAATCGAGCAAAAGCTGCGAAAGAAGGTCCTTGGCGAAGTGCAACGAGTCTCAGCATCCTTCACCTTCAAGGCTCCCGATGAAGCATGGCTTCAGGGAGGCAATGGCCGTACCGACAAGTCCAGAGAACCAATGGGTTGTTTGGGTGATCAAGGTTGGTACCCTTTGTCTGCCATTCTATGGGCCTTTGGCTGGATCCAACCCGAAAAAGTCATGTGCAGCCATGTGACCTTCAACAAAGTTGACACCATTGTGGCCTGTTCAGGGACCTTGTGGTTCCCAGGAAATCGCTCAGCTGTGTTCGATTGCGGCTGCACCGCACCACATCGCAGTCAGTACGAAATCATTTGCGAAACTGGAACAATCAGATGTGATGATTTGGTGGGCGGTCAGAAGAGAAGTGGCAACTTTGGCGCTTATGAGACTCCCTTTGTGGGAAGCTCTGAGTATGTGCAAGGTGATGTGATGGGTAAGGATCAGGTCATTACAGTGGATCCCTGTGATCACGTGAATCTGCTGGTAGACGACCTCGCGACGTGCATCAGAAAAATCAAGTCAGGCGGTGAGCCTGATGATGATTGGCCCACAAGGTCGCTTCTTGTACATACAGTGATGTCAGCAGTCTTTGAATCAGCCAACAACAACGGGGCACTCGTTGAACTTGGCAAAGGCGGCTATGTGTAGTTCGATTTAAATCTCAGACTCTTTTGCAGATGATGACACCGCAGGGGTTGTCGGCACTTGGCTGTCCGAACTTTCTAGTTGTGTCTTGGACAAAAAAGCACACTGAGATCACCTGAGTGTGTCTGGAAATGGGGTATACCGATACACCCCAGGGGTGGCAATTCAGCAGGAAAAATGATGATAGCCCAGTGGATTTAGGGGTATCCCATTTTCAGAGAAACTTTACATGTCGCTAATGTGTGCAGCTGTAGCCAGCAATGTCACATTTGGCATCCACAGCTTCGCGCCAGGTATGCCTGCAATTTGATAGCCCGGTTCACTTGCGCCAGGCTTGTGCATTCAGTTTTTTTTTTTGTGTGGGTATGTAATGGACGTATCTAATAGTGATAATAGGGCAGACTATGATTGTCTTTCAAGATTCATGTTGCTCCGACGAAAGATAGCCGATTGGGCCAGAGGTGCAATTTCTCTCCCACCAAAGCAAGATTGCTACCAAGTCTGCTCCTGAGTTGAAACTGCTTATGCTGATTTATCTTGTCTTGGAGGGTTAAACTGTGTGTTTTTTTTTAATGCTCGTTGGAGCTATATGGTGCAAACATCTCACCATGCAGAGATGTCGTGCTCCCTGGCTGTCAAGGATTGAACTTTTCACAGGGTTGGCTCCAGGGCTTTGTCACCTGGAGGCAAATCTTTCAAATGTTTGCTGCGTCTGTTTGACTTTGAGGGTTTTTGGCTTTCCCAAAAAAAGCAATGTGGACATTATGGAGAATGGGCATGAACATCACATACCGTCGAGCACTTGCAGCTCAATTTTCCACGTGCAGCATGTTACAGTATCTACGTGTTCTTCGCACAACTGCACAGATTCCTTTCTATTTATCTCGCTTTCGTGCTAGGCGGTTCAGTTCAAGCGGCTGGGCTACCTCTCGCTGGACAACAATGAAAGGTCACAGTTTCAGGCGGCAGAATGGAGACTGAGTCAAAGCCAAGGACGTTTTTTCAACGCTGATTGTCCGTGAGCATCAGAGTTTCTCTGAAAATGGGGTACCCCTAAATTCGATGACTAATCCTCATTTTCTCCTGTTAAATGGCACTTTGGACCCAATTCTTGGACCCACGTATTTCCATTCCATTCCTTGAGGCGCGTGAGCTGAAAAGCGTCTACGTGGATGTCGTGGCGCAGTTTCTGCGTATTGTCTTTCACAAGCGCCTCACTCAGCTCGTGACATATCATGATGTTGAATGGCCAGTTGAGCAGTCAAAAAACCAGCTGATTGACGAATATAGGCTAGGGGATTATTATGGATTATTCCAGCCAAATCTACCCAAAATATTGGGGATTATTAGATCCATGGGAAAGACAATTGACCAATCATCGTATGGACATGGTTTTGGCGCGAGGTGCCATGTGAACCGCTACAATGCGCTCAATCAAGTGGGGCTCATTGCCTTGAGCTGCTTGGGAGAGGCTGGGAGCCAGAAGAGTATGGAAACCAGAACAGATTCATTCACAAAATATCAGCAGAAGTTTTGTCCATCTAAAACACTTGGGGCTAGGCTAGCAGCTTAGCAGGTCAAATGAATTTTATTGCTGTCCAAGTCTGGTCATCAGCGATGCCCTCATCAAATAACCGCCATTTCGGTAGGTTTTAAACACCTCAGATTCCGACAAGGCTGGGCCAAGTGCCGAGTATAGAGCAGCTGCACCACATCAAACATCACCCAACCAGAAGTCGTTTTTTCGATATTTGAACCAGAACCTGAAGGCATGGGTATGGGGCTTAAACTAATTGATCCTCAAAAATGGTTCGTTTTAGATGATTTCATGGTTTCAGATCCAAACATGACAAGTTCGGGGTGGGTCAAACCCTATAAGACCATTTTTTGACCATTTTTGGAGGGGATGAACATCCATAGATCATCATAGATCCAAGATGATTGAAGCCATTGAAGCCATTGAAGCCATTTTGACGTGAACAGGGTACAGTCCTAGAGCTGTCGATTCATCCCCTGGCGCAGGATTCGGCGGTTCCGCTTCCGGCGGTTCCTGCGCCCACGCCGACTGCGCCACCGATGGTCACGGCAGTCCCAGCAGCGACGGTTGCGCCGAGCGCGCCAGCTGTGCCACCCATCAAACCAAAGGACACCCTGCCGGGCGACAGATGGTGAAGTCTACATTCTACATGGAGATGGAGATGGGTTGAAAATTGATAGTTGGGAGATGTTGGGAGGGTGAAGATCAGTTAGATATAATTATATAGATCATTTACTTAGAATTTACTTCGATTTGAATGGGTGTGGTGTGAGGGTTTGGATCCATAGCAATATAGAAGACCCAGAAAGACCAATGGAAAACAAACATCTTGTAACTTCCAAGATTTGAGGATCAGTTTTGCAACTCCTTGGGTTGCAAAAGCACAGATTTTCTTTCTAATTTTCTCTAATTAAGCATTTTGGGCATCACGAGCGCAGGAGTTTCTGGTGCCAGCGAGGCACACGCCTGTCCAACGCCCAGCTTCGGTGACATCAAGAGACATTTTGAATTGTCAAATGTTTTTTCAGGAGGTCTTCCGCTTCTGAGAATTTGAGTATCCAATCATCTGGCGTTGTCTCAAGAATAGGCTCCGCCAAAATCCGGTGGTTTAATAATGTTTACAGTAATATTACCATATATTGCCGTACTACTACCCGTATTACCTATAAAAATGGTCATATAATGGGGTTTTTCTGGGGTATGGGTACAACCATAATATTGGGTATAATGGTGGATATTACCTATAATATTACCTATAATGGGGTATCCACTATTTTGACAATCTTTGGAACACAGCCAAGGCTCCAGTGGAAATTCCGGAGCCGCCACCGGCTCCTGCCAGTCCTAAGACTCCCAAGACAGTGCAGCCTCCAATCCACAAGGCCATCGATAAAGTTGCTTGTGACTCTATGGGAGATTGTGTGAAACTTGTGGCTGATTTTTTTTTTGGTTGAAACAATCACATTCTGTTTGGTAATCCACTTATTGTAGCAGGCTGCAACGCAGCCTGCTAGTCGAATCGCTCGCAGGTTGCCAGCGACTTGGCTGACATGGACGAGACCAAGTATGATGTCAGATGCTCAGAGACGGGGACCATGTGCCGATGGACTGGACCAACGATGGACCAACGATGGACCAAAGATGACCAAAGGTCAAAACCTTGGAGCGATTGAAGAGCCTCGTCCTCGAGAAGCAGAAGTCTGTGGAAGCAGAGGCGCCGACAAACCGGGCCTCATGGCTTCATCCCAGAAAATTAGAACATAGAGGTTGTTTACTAAGTTGTTTGCCTATATTTACTTTGAAGTATCAGAAGTGTGGACTGCAGTCAGAATAGAATAGACCATGTCACAACAAAGTTCTGTTTTTTTCATCGCTTCAAAGAGACATGCGAATGAATACGAGATGGTTGTATGTCCATTCCAAGCAGTAATCAAACAACTGGGATGCCTTGATCCGAAGCTTGGACCGGCAGAGGACTATGGAGGCGCAAAGCGCTGTAAAGAAGCGATCGTGATGTTGAAGAAAACCGGTTTCAGCCTGAGTGGTAGCTTTCTGGTACTTCACAGATGAGACAGGGCCCGATGTCAGCCATGACAGTCTTTCATTGCGATGGAGTTGCAAGTTGGGCGAGTTATAGTTGTCCTAGCACTTCTCAGGCTTGCGCATTTGCGAGCTGGAGGCCAGCAAAATCCTTAACTTAAGGAAGGCATTTCGGTTTGAGCAATCAAGAAAATTGAAGCTTAAATTGTGGTCCTGAGAAAACACAGGAACAAAAGAAGTCCGCGGTTGAGAACGAGGACAAAAGCGATGCAAAAAAATGCAAAAAATAGCCGTCTCCTAAAAGTTCCGGTGTACATAGTGGATGCTAAGCCTCTAAGCCACTCTAAGCCATGTCTGAGACATTCCGACACCAAATTGGATATGCAGATAGGGTAACGAAACATGGAAAACATAGAAGATAGCCTGGGTGGAGAGTCGATCGCCTGAGAGGTTGGATATTGTTCGATTGTGTTGAGCTCCAGCTCTTTTCGTCTCTCGGACCACGCTGTCTTGAAACTTTCAAAGCAGGAGTACGACGTAGCAAAGTCCTTGAAGTCCGAGATTGACAGGTGCATGTTGATCATGTTGCAGTTGAATCTCTAAAGGACAGATTTCCTCCTCTGCATGCTGCGACATTTCCAGTCTTATCAGTCTTCAGCCTTGCAAGACATTGAGATCAGGGATTTGCAAATTTGCAAGATATGAATTCATTTTCTACGAAGAAAAATTCAGGAAATACAAAAGAGATGTCACTCCTGGCTGCGCCATCGGATGGTGGCAGTGCAGGTTGCGGCACCAATGTGAGGGGGTGGAAGAGAAAGAGACGAAAGTCGAGCCACCTCCCTTGCCGCAAGAAGAGGTGCCGGCAGTTCTCGAAAATTTTGGGAGTCACCTGTTGGCTGTTCACTGTTGGCTGTGGAGGTCAGAATTTATGAAGCTCTAAATGTTTGATATAATGAGATATAATGTATTATAATGTGTACTGGATACCGTTCTATACTGTACCTATAGAACACCTCTCTTTGAATACAACTACTGTGTGCATCTCTGTGCAACATCGTGGGTTTCTTGATGCAGCTTGAAAACCAAGAGCCACCAGGTCCAAAAGCCATCACAGCCGTCGCCTCCAAAGCGGACCCCTCCCAATCGGTCAGGGAGCCTGAGATCGGATGTGGGCATGGGACCATCGAAGGAAGATGATCCAGAACAGTCAGACTACCAGTGACTACCAGCTAGGATAAGGTCAAACCAAAGATTTCAGGGTAAAAATTAACCCTACTCAGCCCTCCATCCATTTCCATCCTACTCCCATTGGATTTCATGATTTGATATGACAGAACCGTCCAGCGACACAAAGGTCCCATCCGAAGTCCGCACCAGGTGCCAGGCACGGCGTTTTACAAAGTGTCAGGGCATAAAAAGGTCTTTATGATTCTTGATGGATACCATTGAATTTCATTGAACTTCATTGAATTTCTGAATTTGAATGCCATTTGAATGCCATGGGTTCATTTTTTCTTTGTCTATACAACAGTTTATAATTCATTGCATCTCTGCTCTCCATTCGGATGTTTGTCAACTTGTTTGAGGTCAATGGTTCCACCCGCTCCTGACGACGATGAGGCGCTGTTCAACGGTCTGGGGTTGCCATGTTACCAGTTGCCACTGGTCTGGGAGCGACCATCTACCCTCTGGTAATGACTAACATAGCTATTGAAAATGGCCATTTATAGTGGATTTACCCATTGAAAATGGTGATTTTCAATAGCTATGTTAAGTTACCAGAGGCTAAATTCCTGCATGGATTTTGCGATTTCCCTTCGTCAAGCAGCCTCCGTCCAGCGACATGACTGAAGCAGGTCAAAGCAGTTCCACAGGGACCACCTGCGCCACTTCAGTGCTGCAAGCTCGCTTGTTGAAGAGTGTCCGCTTATGTGCTCTTGCATCCATTGATCCAGTTCAAAGGGCTGAACAGAAATCTGAATGTAATGCAATTATGCAAGAGGCTGATATTTAGATTATTTAGATTAGCTTAGAGTCATTTTGCTTGGAACCAAACATCATTGAATTCTCTTGTGATTGTTTTCTTTTCCATTGCGCCACTACACTCCACTGTTCAGACCTTTGGCATGTCAGGCCGAACAGGGGCATTCGAAGCGTTGGCGGATATAGAGCTGCTGCAGAGGTGCCAAGAGTTGCCTTGCTTAGCACTTGGACTGACCAAACATTGTTCCTGATTGACCCCGCAATGGTAGACGCATATCCACATTCTGTGGGAGGCACCTCCAGTATTCTCAGAGGAAATGCCTGTGCTCTGAGCTCAGAGTTTGGCAGACACTTTGCTCAACACTCAATCTCTAGACATCTCTAGACTGTAAAGCAGTATCACCAGCAACAATTGTACTACTAGGACGATTTTGCAGCTTTGTCCAAACATGCCGGATGCCTCAAATGGCAATTTCAATGATCGGTGATTGATCAAATGATGATCAAGTGATCTGTGATGACCAATGCTCAACTGTCAAATTTGGGGATGCCATATTTTCGGACGCCTTGCAAGGACGCCTGCTGTGGGAAGCACTGCACCAAGACCCACTCGAAATGGGAGAGGTGATACCCAACTCATGGGGCCGGCCTTGTGCCTTTCATACCAATCGCATCCAATAGTATTTTTTTTGATACCATGAACTAGATGGGGATATTCCGGGATATCATATGATGCAACTTGAAGTAATTTTGACCAACTGCTTTGGTGGTTTCAGGCTTGGCACCCTCAACCAGATGCCTTTTCAAACACTTCCTGCTGCAGGTGATGGGTTCAAGCCTGATTCCAATGGGCATGGTGCTCAGCATCTTGGAGAAAACATGGGGAAGCCCAGATGGTCACCGCTGAAAAATGGACACCTTTGGACACCTTTGCTTCCAAGGAAACTGGGACCTCCGGAGCTCTTCCCGGCTTCTTCCTCAGCTTCCAGAGTTCAAACTCTTGTATTTTCCATGATTTGCCTGGGGCAGCGAAAATAAGGATGCCAACCATGACCACGCTTCGATTGATGCTCATTTGGAGGCAGTAGATTCCACAGCGACTTGGGATCACAATCCGGGCCATCCATTGAGCAGGACCTTGGCCAGCCGGAGCCCATTGCCCCGAATCTGCAGTGTCTTGGCAAAGACTTGCGGGACCGGCTGATTTTGGTTAACCTTATGGATCCTTATGGTAAAATGATGTAAACTGATGCAGTATGCAATGACTTGACCCATTTTCGTTATGTTACGAATTACCTTCCTTCGTCAGCCATACCATACCTGGAATGCATTGGAATGCTGTTGCCGAGTGCAGAGGTTTTCAGGCTGACAACACAGTTCAGGTTGGACAACATCCATGCAATGTCTACAGCATGTAGGAACATATTCAAAGCTGATCAGAACTAGTAAGTGAGATCTGAAGACAAGATTCCAGTATCAAAATCATTTTCTAACGCACATCATTTGAGATTCTTCATGTCAGCAATTTCCGAATGGCTCAGGGCTGAAGCTGAACCTTTATGCTCTGCCTTCGGCTCGTCTTGGCCTCAGTCGTCGGTCCCGCCGTTCCGCAACGAGTTTCGCGACGTTTCGTCCAGTGCCCTGGCAGACACATCGTCCAGTGCATCTTCTCCAAGACCTGGAGCCAAGCTGTCCTGTTGCGCGAAGATCTTTGTTCAAACAAACATGTTGATATAAGATTTTATAACCATCGGTTGCTGGGTTTTTAATGGGATTAGTAGTTTAGTGTTTACAGTTTACACATTTTACTAGTGCAGCTCAACAACTTTCTATAACCATCTAATTTTTGGGATACACTATTTGGATCCATTTGGACATTTTGAACCATGATTCCTTGGAGTGAAAATCTGCAACTCGATCCACGGCAGGTTTCAGGGACTCAGCCTTGCAAAAGCTGGCCTTGGAGCTTCGAGACCGAAAGGTCACCATGGCAAGGGATGACAACTGGAATGGAAAATGCTACATGGAAACTAGGTGCCCCAATAGCTGGATGGGTTATAGTGGAAAATCCTATTAAAATGGATGATGAAATTTTTGTACCCCTATTTTCAGGAAACCTCCTAGGCCACACTTCAATCACCATCTTGTGCCACACATGGGGATGTCTAAGGATGGCCATGACAAGGAAACGATGGAAAGGATGAGGAAACAAGGCTTTTAAGTTTTTTTGGTCCCAATTTGGGCAAGTTTGATGAGATCACCAGGTTAAGACTGGATGTTTAAAAATTAACACTGGTGGCTGAATAGCCCATGAAATCCATCACACTACATGTTGTCATACAATATATATATAACTATATATAATTATGTATATATATATATGATTATGTATGTATGTGTATGTGTGTATATATATATATCATATATATATATACACACATAGACACATACACATATTTGAGAGTTTTTCACCCTGACAGGGTTTTGACCCATAATGTGGAGAAACAGTTTTTTCTTCCCTTGGCTTGAGGATGCGGATGCATTGATGTGTGAGCCCAAGTTTTGTGATATCCGTTTGTCCGAAAATGAGCATTAGAACATGTTTGGACAAGCCAATCTTCTGGACAGACTCATTTCCAAGATCTAGTTTTAAGGCCTCACTGGCTACTGGGTTGGCAAGAACTGCAGATGCGGTTGGCGCTAGATGGAGCTAAGGAATGCCTATGTGGCCATTCTGATGCGGACAATACCGGACAAGAATGTACAGGTCCGGATGCAAAGGCTTGATCGATGCGATCGATGATATGTCCTGCGACCTTTGCAGGTTGACACAGGTTGCTGAAGTCTCAATATTTTGGTAGATCAGATATGATATAGGTAATATTATGGTATAGCGTGTATACAAATATATATATATATAGATATATAGATATTCATATTTACAATTCATTTATGAGCATGAATTCTCTTGTTGACGTGGTCACCCTGACCACTTGTCTGGCCTGAGGTCTTTCATTCCAGTGCGGTGCTCCTGCAGGCTGAAACATGACTCTGCCAAGACAGTCAATCAAAACCAACCGATGCGTTTTTGATTTTATGTCATAGCAATAATGCATGATAATGAATGACAATGATATGATGATGAAAGTGATAATGGCAATGATAGCAATATATGATATACGACATATGATGTATGATATATGATGCTTTCACATGTGGTTGATGGGCAGTCCCCCCTCTTGGGAAGCCCTGTATACTTGGCTGATCCCATTCATCACTGGATGATAATCTCACTTTCCAAGCCCAACTAAGCGGGATGATCCTCCAAGTACCCAGCCCTCAAGTTTCCAGTTTCTTCATCATTAGGGAAATATGGATTAATTCTTGCCTAATTTAGGTTGCTAATTTACAGATTTTGTTGGAATCCAACAGGGTTCTTCCCATCCAGCGCTGTGTTTGCTGTTTGACCCGTCGCCAAGCCAGAGGCTTTGTGTCACCTTGCAGAAGGCCGGTTGGATCGAGGCGAGTTACAGGCAGGGGCTGCTGAAGTCATTGGAAATCAAGGGTATGGTATACCAACATCCTCAAACATCCTCAAACCAGTGCATATGGGAGCATTCACTCTCATAATCTTCATGAATGATTTGAGTTCGTACAATCCGCAATCGAGATGATTCCCTTATGAGAATCCTTGTAAATAATTATGTATACCTTGATAGTCCAGATAAGGATATTAGCTAATCATATGAGTAAATGGAAGGTATACTACGGGCATACCCCCATTCTCTAACCATATGTATATTTGATTATATTTGTTCCACATATTGAAAGGCATATGCATGTACTCCATATTTGATATACACATGCAGTATACACCATATATTTGTAGACTGCATACGTATATACATATGTATATATACACATACGTACATGAATGGATATGCACTATGCACTATCACTATGCACTACTACGTACTACGTACTACGTACTACGTACTACTACTACGTACTACGTACTACTACTACGTACTACGTACTACTACTACTACTACTACGTACTACTACTACGTACTACTACTACGTACTACGTACTACTACTACGTACTACTACTACGTACTACTACTACGTACTACTACTACGTACTACTACGACGTACTACTACGACGTACTACGTACTACTACTACGTACTACTACTACTACGTACTACTACTACGTACTACTACTACGTACTACTACT